GGGCCTAGCAAAACAAACCCACATCATACACTACATGCAAAAAATATTGAATAAACTTTTAAACAGCAAGAGAAGCAGCCTACCAGAGCCAGGTAAATATATTGAGAAAGTTTTTATTGGAAGATATATTTCTGCCAAAATAAATAGTTACATTTTCTTCAGCAAAACATTAGAAAATAGAAACAGGAAGAAAAAAAAAGCATCAACAATTTAATACTGAACTTTTAAAGTGACTGTGAACACTACTTAGTGACATTGCCACGTAAATATATAACTTGTTATGCTATTGCTGGTCTAGTTGCTGCTCTGACACCAGTAATTTCCACAGGACCTCCACATGTGTTGTGTGCTTAAGGGTCTTCTCAAACTTAGTGGCAGCAGTGGAGTCCCAGGACACACAAAGTTCAAAGTGCTACTTTAGACGCTGTTTTCAAGAACAAGAGAAAACCCCAGAATGAGAGGTATTTATTTCAAAGTTACATTTCCAAGTCCTCTGTTTGGAACTAGAGTTTCATCCTCCCTGTGCAGGAGGGCTGATGTGGATCCAAAAAGTGAGGTGGATGCAGTTAGGGGCTGTCCTAGTGGAGCTACCTGCAGGTTGGAAAAGGAGCAATGTCCCACCAGCAGGCAAGAGGAAGGAGGGAGAGGAGAGGGGAGCGAGTCCTGCTGCACTCAGAAAGGCAGACACCAGAGGGATAGGAAGCCAGAGGCCACTGTAAAGGCACAGCGTGTTTGGCACAAACAAGCTGGCTGACATGGCAACCAGGTGAGGTGGTCCATTCTCTCACTGATTTAAGAAGAGCTTGAGGAAACTGTTGGCAAGGCCCTCTGACTTTGACAGCCCTGCCACCCTGGCATATATTTAGTAGAAATTTACTATTGTTTTATTCCCATAAAGAATAAACACACACAGAGTTTCAGGTATTTCCCCCACAACCGCTTTGGCAAAAGTGAGAGCTCTTTTCTCCAAGGAAGTAGTGAATTTTTATAAATTAATAATTTAGATAATTTTTAAAGTAGATAATTTTTATAAATTAATAAAACCACTGAGGAATATAAAAGTACTAGGGACACCCCAGTGCTGGCAGACAGCAGATTCTCTTTTATTCTCTGAGTGTTGCAGGTACACAGCCTTCCAAGAAGCCATGAGAGAACAATTTCTAGGTCCTATACATAGTGGTCAGTATTTTCTCCTATCTCTTGAAAATCAGCTTGCAACAGTATTAGCAGTAGGGCAGGCAGCAAACCAAACCAATTACACACTACCTGTGGGTTACAGAGCATGCCATAGGCATGGACTGTTGTACCCAAAACAACTCTATGGTGTTGTACAGGTTAGGGGCTGGTTAGATGCACAACAAGGTCACCATTACCCTTGTTAAAAGCAGCAATTAATAACACAGGAAGGAGGAAAAAACAGTGGATTCCTGAATGCACACACCCTTTATGTGAAACAGTGGAAAGAGCAAGGGTTGGGACTCCAGCAGGAATCCAGTGAATGCTATAAGGACCTATGGACATGGACTACAACATGAATTTTTGTCCAGGAACCTGACCTCTCACTCTCCATACATTGGAGAGCCCTGCTGGGCTGCCCAGCGACACAATCTGGAGCAGAATGGACTGACTGCCATGGATGACCTTGCTCTTACAGACTTGGCAAGTGAGAGTTAATCAGCAATGGCTGCCCAGAAGATAACTTTGCACACCACGAGGTACACACAGAACAAGGGGCTGAACAGTTCCAGTGAGCACTGTTGTAATAAACCTCTCCATATCCAATCCAGAACCTATCACAAAGTTTCCAGAGATTTCAAAAAGAGTGGGGTCTCATCTAGACAAGGCAGCACTGCATAACAAAAAGCTATTCACAAGCTGACACAGCCCTTTTTCAGCAGTGGGAAAGGAGATCTTCCCCAATTCCTTCATCCTTTGCAATGTGTAATGGACAAGCAGCAAGAATTTCAAGCAAATGGGTAAAACTTTTTAAAAGGAAAATGAGGTTAGTTTCAGGTATTTTTAACAGATCTGCAATTCCTTTATCAGAGCTCAAATCTATAAAGCCTACAAAAGTCATTGTAATACTTAGGGAATAAAAACAGGCAAAGAAAGGGTTAATACAGAGTGGTACTTTCCTAGTATCCTTCACACCCTGCAAATTAGCATAGGGAGAACAGGAATTTCCTTGTGAAAATTTAGACCTTTATTCTTAAAGCCAAGCTTTGATTTGTGGTTATAGTTTGAAGTGTACAAAAGTTTCTTGTGGAGAAGCTAATACAATAAATTAAACTACAGATGAGGTGAAACACAGAACAAAACTCAGGCCTTTTACCAGGCACAGCTGTTAGTCTCTTGAAATGCATGAACCAAAATCCCCAAGCCTTCTGGATCAGAGTGCTGGAAGACAGTGGCATCAGCCCAGTCAGCACCAGCCCAGTCAGTTCTGATGCAAAAGGCAAGGGGTAAGGGTGCCAAGCTGCAACTTCTTAGCACACTCTGTTGCCAAGAGTATTTTATTTCATAGTTTAGTGGTTTACATAATCACTCAGTGGTTTTACCAGTCCAGGAAGAAGGGATAAAAAAATACTTGCATCATTTTCTCCACCCATAAATTAACTAAAAAAAAAAAAAAAAAAAAAAAAAAAGAGTCAAAAGGGCAGCAGCTCCTAAACAGAAGATTTTTCTTATGCAGTTTTGCCCCTCTCAGATGTTTTGTTTCTGGACAAAATGCCCTAATTTCTTGCCACTAAATATCTCTATGTTCTTGCCAATTGCTCTGTGTGCACTGGGGACAAGAGATATGCATTTAGCAATCTAAGTAGCTGTGCATGTGCCATTCCCCCCAGGAAGGTAGTCCAAAACAGTGAAAGAAAAGAAATCCCATACCAAGCCACAAAATGACCACCTTTTCTCAGTTCCAATTTTCATCAAATTCATCATGCTCCCACTAAGTGACAGTAGCTTGTTGCTGGTTCACTTTCACTAGCATCTACCATTTTATTCCTGTGGGCTTTAAACAATCACAAGATCAACTTGTTTGGTAATTGAATAATCTATCCTGATTATATCAGAATCCTCCAATTTTTTCTCTTCTTGTAGTGACTTCCCTGTTCCCTAACTGACTTAATTATGCAAAGCTTAAGACTAAATCTGACTGCATAAGTGCAGGCCTGCTTTTTAAACTACACAGGCCCTTGTGTTACATAGTTTCATCCAGCAAAGCAGTGGGGTGACAATCTAAGTTAAAAGTTCCTTCTTGCACTGCCTCCCGGGCAGAGGCCCACTCCATTGCCTCCCAGCTTGGCACAGCCACTGCAGGAAAGTCCTGATGCTTATCCATCTCCATACAAACACCAAACTCGTGCCCAGTGCACAACTGTGCTCATAGGAAACAGCACCCACCCTGTCACCCACGCTGCTCATGAAGATGTACTACTTTCTCCAGTGATTAGCACAACTTCTGGGTTTATTTTCCCTCTCTAAATCTAAGGTGCACAACAGAGTCTATTAAAAATTACTATTCCGTGTATAGGCTACATAATCAGCTTCCAACACCCTGTCCTGCTCCCCAGCAAAGACAGCATATGTTTGCTTTGGCCATTGCACACTGTTTGTGCTAGAAGAGGTAGAAGACGCCTCATGTAGCAAGACAAGCAGCAGAAAAAGATACCAGGAGCTGGGTTTGTCAGAGTGTGAAGATCTAAGCTTAAATCTATGCAATCCCCACAGGAAGCCACATCTCACCCTGTGAAGAGAAGGGAGTTCATACTTCTCACACAAACCACGACAAGACCACTGCAGAGAAGGCAGTGCCTCAAGAGTCCTGCTCTGCTACAGCTCTGATCTTTTAAGGGGCAAGACACAGAGGAGCCAGTTCCAAGTGGCGGCATCTGCATCAACAGTCTTCACTTCTCATGCTCCTGCTATTGCTAGCTGCAGAGCAGGACCTCTGAGCTACAACACGAGACAGGCAAGCTGTGATCCTGGTGTAGCTATAAGCCTAAATCCTTCTCACTCCAAAGCCTCAACAACTAAACTTTCTGAGCAAAAGAGAGATAGAAGCCTCAGTTTGGCAGGAGATCCATTCTGTATCACCCACTTGGAATTTGCCTCAGTTGTACAGCCCCTTAAGGAGCAAAGCCCAACTGACCCTGTCAGAGGCAGCCACTTCCCCAGCACTTGCTATGACACTCCACCACAAGCCTCTCAAAAATAACATGCCCTGCACAATTCTCATCTTCCTACAATCACTTCATATTGTTTCAGCTGCTAAGTTGATCCTGAGATAGCTGGCTGAGCTTTTTCCAGGGTAACCCCACACCAATTCCATTCATAGAGTCAGGAATAGGGGATCAAATTCAACATGTTTCCCTGGAAAAAAAAAATCTGTCAAAATTACTTCCTTAAATAAGCTCAATCACTTAACACTCAGAGTTCAAGTCACAGTAGTTCCCTGAGGACCCCAACCAAAAATGGAGAGATGAGGACAACATGAATCAGGGAAAATACATAACTTTTCTACACTTCTGCAGTTCCAGTGTAGTCTTCTGCAGGACCAGCTCCAGCTTCTGGTGTGGATGCAATTAAGGGAGAGAGGAAAGGACATGGTTTCAGCAAACAGGAAAGTCTGGAGGAGATTTAAAAGCCATGAGAAAAATTGTTTTGGCAAGAGGCTACTTCATCTTTGAGTAGCACAAAGAACTAAGGGCTGTCAGATGATTTAAGGAGAGGAATCAAGACACATGCTCTGGAAAACCAAGGGAGGTAAAAGCTGTATGAACTTGAGAGCGTCATCTACATCCTGGTTATTTGGCAGTAAAAAGCCAGTGGGAATTCAAAGTGCACTATGTGGGAGAGCCCAGCTGGGTCAGCATCAGCCTGGCCACAGGCAACGGCCAGGCCTCACCACAAGTCTAGAGCAAGGAATCAGCCTGTGCATGGCTCTGAACACAAAGATCCTTGCTTGGCCAAGTGGGCAACATATGGCTACAGTCAATTCCACCAGTCTCCATCCAGGGGAAATCCCCTTTGCAACATACTGGAGAGCAAGGGACAGCCTGCTGCTGAGGGATGAGACTGGTCCCACCCTATGTCCATTCGCCTTCCCACCCACTCTCATCCCCTCACAGCAGCAGGCTCAGAAGAGTGGCAGGCACTCTTTTGCACAGTCTAGAGGTGGAAGCTTTAACTGAAACCCTTCCCGAGGGAAGAGGGAGGCTTGCATGTCCACGTTGATGCAGAGCAAGCCCAGCATGAGCTGGCGCTGGTACTCCTCCCACTTCATCATGACGTCGGAAACCGAGCGGTTGCTCCTCATCCACATGGGCAGCGCTTCACCACAGGGCGCCGCGGGAGAAATCGGCAGCTTCTGGGGCCCTCCCAGCTCCAGGTGGTAGTAAAGCCTGAAAGGCAAATACATGCAGAGACTCAGTACATGGGAAGACTTGAGCAGGCCACAAGACTAGAGCGCCAGTACCATAGTCCTGTTTTGTACTAAACTGACTACATGATTTTAGTGAGAAGTCTCTGTGTGCCCATTTTCCCCCCTCACATCTCTCAGTTATTCAGACCATGAACTCTTTTGGCTAAGAATCACACCTTTGTACTAGGATCAAATCACAGCTGGGACCCCTTGAATGCTACTGTGAGTTTTCTATCCTCATCCACACAACAGTCTTGTCACAGCCTCAAGCCAGGGGCTATTGCAGGAGTTCAGTCCAGAAGCATAGGCACACACACAGGCCCAAAGCACTCGGTCTCATTTGGAAACTCTTCTGTGTTCCCTGGCCACCATATTCCTTCCCCACAAAAACCAGGCTGAGATATTGAGGTAGAAGAAGTCATTTGAACATAAGTACTTCTCGGAAAGAACTTTCATGGGATCCTGGGCCAGCAAATGTCACAAAGACAAGCACCTCTCTCTTGTAGAAGGAGCGTGAAATAAGCTGGCATACTGTTTTAATCAGACTTACTTTAGACAATGTCCCCCATAATAGGGGACAAGTAGACTTTGTCTCCTATAATGGCACTATGGAAACAGACCATGTGCTGAGTCTATCTGACAGTTAAAGAAGCCAAGAAACCACAGACCAGATTTACATTTCAGTCTAAGTGCTAAATCCTTCTTGTCTATTTGTGCCTTATTTGCTCTGTTCCAGTGGAATAGAGTCTCTAGAATTCAAAGGTGTAAGGGGAAATAAAGGGCTCCTCGAGAACAATGCTGTGAAGAAAAGTAGCCATACCTGGCTGAAAGATGGCTGCCCAGTTTCTTCTTGGCTTTCTTCACAAGATAGTTGCAGATTTCTGTCATCTGCTCCCTCATCCATCTTATATCCTCAGGGATATCTGGAAGCCATTCAAGCAACCTGTAAAGAGACAGGAGACAACCATTAGCTGGGCCACACAAGGGAATATGATTAAAAGAGCGCTAGCTCCAAAGTCTCTCTTAAGGCTCAAAAATTTATCACCATTTTCTGGGGCAAGTTCTAGCACACAGCAATCTTCCTTCAAGCTGGAAGTAGTGCTTGTAACTAAATGACATAGGAAGATAGGAAAAGCTTGGGGTTCTTTGTTTTTCTGGTTTTGTGAGGGTTTGGTTGGTTGGTTTTTTTAGTCGTATCTGGTAAATGTCAAGAGCTTCCTCCCCAGGAACACCAGCAGTGCAGAATTAGAGAGAATCCCACTCTGGCCAAATACTACAGCTACATGAAATACTTGTCTGCACTGGGAAGAGCACCACTGAGGGACCAGCCCAAGGCTCACCTGACAGTGAAGGAAACTGCAGACTCCAGAGGCAGCATGTAGGGGACCATCATGGCCGTGGCCACACGCACAGGCAGCATGTTGCTCAGGCCAGTCAAGAAACTTCTTCTTTCAGCACAAGCCTCCATGAGAGCTGAACGCAGAAGAAAACATGGCTGAATATCCCCAGTGGGACAATCTTTTCTTGTCATACCTCAGAAGTTACTCAGCCTGAGGCAGCTAACCCCCACTTCTAAGAAAGTCTTACTCAGGGTTAGTAATTCCCTGAGCACAGCTAAAACCAGCAGCTTTCACCTTTATAAGACTCTAAAGAAGAGAGCAGCAAGACCCTCTCCTCTCCTTACCATGCAGAACACTGTCAAACGAATCAACCTCTCCCAGTCCAGTATGAGCCACAACTTTATCCAAGACCCCCAATCCATCTAACCCTCAGTAGGTGTCATTTCAATTCCTGGGCATGACTAACCCCAGCTACACACAATAACCACACATCCCAGTAATCTTCTGAGGCAGACCAGGCAGCACAGGAAGATTACCTGTAATCTCTCCCTTTGAATCATACCTTGGTTCAGTCTGGGAGGCAAGTGTTCAAAGATATGCTCTTCAACAACAGCAAGGGCAGTGTTGTCCTCTAGTTGGTCCTCAGCTTCTGTTTCTTCCTCTTTCTTGTCTTCTGGAGGTGCTTCTATGGCAAGGAGAGGACGGGCAGGACTTGGACGATGAAGGAGACCTGAGAAGAGAAGTTATACTGTAAGGATGACACAAACCAGCTGCCCTGCCTTTAGAGTGTCAGTCCTTGCTTCAGCCTAACTCCCCTCAGGCTGAGGTCATGCCCAGCCTCTTTAGTTTGCATCTCTTGTAATGCTTACCACAAGGAGATACAAACCTTGGTAATTTAAATTAATTCTCTCCTTCCCCATCAGAAGTTCTCCCATTTCCCCTTTAAGTTCCGCAGGTGGCAGAGTTTTGTTGCTATAATCTGCCACTCGCCTATCTTGCATGCAAGATTTCCCTCTTGCAGTGCAATCCCAGTTATCCCGGTCCGCATCACTGCCCACAGACACGAGGTGGCAGCAGGCGCACACCCAGCGCTGCAGCGGCTGGAAGCAGGAGAGCAGCGCCCGAGTGTCCGGCACTGCGGGCAGCACCACACAGACCCAGCCACACACGGAGAGCAGCAGGGTGTCTGCAGGAGCTCCAAATGGTACTGCTGCCCAGCAACTGTGTTGGTAACTGCAAAGGTCACCACTCCACCTCTCCTACCTGAAGGGCAAGACTCATTAAGGATTATTCCATACCTTAGTATATGAGGGACAGTTCAGTTCCTCCCTTCCTCCTTTCATATGCACCATCAACTACTCTCAAAGCCAAAGCACCAAGTGTGGCACAGAACAGGCAAGTCAGTGCACCCTACAAATAACCAGTGCCTTACCATTCTTCTTCAGGAAGTGCAGTGCATCTCGATAGCCCTGCTTGCACATATCCCGCAGCACCTGTGGGCAGAGCAAGAAAAGTTTCACGTGGAAACTGGCTGAGTAAACACCTACCACAATGCTGGCTTCAGAAGAATTGTCCTGACTCCTGAGCTATCCCAAGTATCATTCTTGCCAGCCTTGCTCAGGCTTTGAGCAGGAATGGGAGGTATAGTATCAATATATTGGCTATGGGAATCATAGGACAATTTAGATTGGAAGGGACATCTAGAATCCTAATTAAGTGGGGGCATAGAGTTGCAGCTACCTCATTGCCCCATCTACAGCTGATGCTGCTGTGGGCATCCTTCAGGCTGTCACACTGACAAGCAGCCCAGAATACTTCCCTGCAGGTGCCAGGAAGGGCCATTGTGTTTGCAGATAAAGCCAGCTAACACTAGAGAGGGGGTGGAAAAAACTTGCCCAAGTCATTCAGCACATGAATGCATGCTTATTAAGTCCAAATGTCAGGGCTATCTGGCACTTGCATCTTCTCAGAAGTACACAAAGTTTGTAGTGCCACTTGCTACACTGATACAGTAGAAAGGCTTCATACTGGCAGCTCCACCCTTACCTTAACACACTGAAGTGCACATTGGTTCTGATGGCTAATACATCTTTGTTTACAGTGAACCTGATTTCCAGGCAATGACTACTCTAGAGAGAGCAACATAGGAATATTGTCCAAGCAACTGCTACCACCTGAATTCTAGATATTCAAGTAGAAAATGAAGACAAACCCTGTGCTCAAGGTTTAGCAAGTCACTGGGCTGGTAATGCTGAGATTAAAGACAAAGCACGAGATACAAAGCTAACAGTGTCTGCAATCTTCTCCTGCCAAAGTGCACACAGTATAGCCAGTGCCCAAGATCTGTGATCCCCAAGTTCTGGTGTGGCCAGGAAACTCACTCACCTGTGGCTCCGGAGGAAACAGGGCCTTTGAGAGGCGGTAGAGGTTGCGAAGGTTGAACTGGATGCTTGTATTGGTGACTCTCAGCTCGTGCATATTTGTGGAACTGTCCCGTGGGCAGATATCGCTCTCTCCCGAGAAAGGAGACACCGTGATTGTGTTCTTCAGCTCATACTGGGGCAAATTGTCAGAAATCCCTCCATCAACATATCTCTGAAATCAAGACAAATGCAGCAGTCTTCATTCTCACAACTGATCAAGCAGCTATTTTACTCCATGTCCCTTTTCCTGTTTGTGCAAACAACTTGGGAAGAGAACTGGAGGAGTAAAACCCAGTGATAGCACAGCTGTGTTGTTTATAAAAACTCCTTTTGCTATGTGTTTTTTGTTGCTTGAGTGTGCTGCTCACAAGAGTTCAAGAAAGGCACGTTCACTTGTGTGACTGCTGACTTACATCTCCTATGCGGTCTGACTGCTGTCCAATCAAATAGCAATACACACCAACAACCACCTGCAGTGTAAATTAGTACTGATCTAAGCTGTCACACTGTGACATTGAGCCATTTTTCACTTGTGTTCAAAATGAATAAGCTCAGACACAAGTTCCCACTGGCAGGTTTGTTACCTATGAGTAAAACCAGCCGATCTGTTGCTAGCGGGCTTATCGAGCAGCAATCCCAACACACACACACACACACACATTGGGAATCCACTTGCTCTGGTGTGATAACAGAGCACAAGGGACTTGGGGTTTGCTCTTAACAGCACCCTCTTATCAGAGAATGTTCTGTTCTTCTGTACCATAAACATTTGTGTTACCCTTGCAGGAAGGGCAACTCCAGTAGTATGTTCTCAAAACATTCGTTGGATACTGTAATTGCATAAGGAGCTGAGCAAGATGATCCCTTATCACAGGTTTTGGCAGAGTAAGCAACATGCAAAAGATAATAGCAAAAGGATGTTGGTCAAGCCAAAAGAGAAGGAAGCTGGGGGTCTTTGCAGAGCAACAATTCCAGCCCTTGTGAACCTCAGTTACAGAAGAATTCTGCTGGTTTCATATCAGGGTTGATCCTGCAGCCTGGATCCGTTTCCTTCCTACCCAACACAAATTATGATACATGGGCTATGCAGCCCCACAAGTAGCAGCTGTAAACATCTTTCAGCTCTCTGCTGGGTGAGAAGCTGAGCCAGTAGAGGCTAAACCCAGGCACAGCACAGAAACGCTGATTGAAGGAGAAGGTGCTCCATTCTGCATCCTGCTTCCTCTTGTCTCACAGGCAGACTGACCACCAACATTGCTCTTTTGCTGCAAAATGCCCAGGAAAACACATTGGATGTGGTGCCTGGAGGATTCTTTGCACTTTGCTCTCTCTTGCTGTGGATGGCAGACACCTCAAGCAGCTTCTCTGAGCCTGAACAGTTCACAGGCTCATGAGCTGAAAAAAATAGAATTCAGCTATAGCAAGCCAGCTGCCATTGATGCAACAGGGTCAGGGTGGACTGCACATTCCCTTCTTGGGAGGCAAACTAAACCTCAGGGCTACCTTTGCATAGAGCCTACAGCTTCACAGGAGACGGCTTGTGATTACAGTGTAGGCTACAGCAGCCCAAACTCAGCGCACAGGACATTTTACCCTCATGGCAGCCTCCTACACCACCTGAATTTGGATAGTGATAAAGTGGAAGGACAGGATAGATTAAACTCAAGGGTAAGTACATCCTCTCAGAACAGTAACACACCTCAGACACAAGATGTTTTCTGACAACAGAGATGTCAACAATCAACTGAACCCTCTCCCCCATCTAAAGTGGGCATCAGTGTTCCCTAAGCCTAAAGAAACCACAGCAAACTGCCATTGTCATCCTCTTCCCAAAGCTGCTCCACTGAGAGCCAGACTAGGCACAGCTAGGGCTGGAGACATCTGCCCGACTCCCTTGGCAAGGATGAGATTCCAGAATGCTGAGTGGGACCAGAAGAGCAAAGCAGGCAGCATGCACTTTGTTTAAAGAAAAAGGAGGTAAGCTTTAGAGCCACCCTCCCCTTACTTATGTTTTATGAAGTCAAGGAAGATCATGTGCATCTGATTAAGGCCTCACACTGTTTTTTAGATCCTGTTGCACTAGTTTTGCAGCAAGAATGCAGAAGACACATTTCCCTGAGGGTGGCAGCATGACTGCACAGATGCCATTAGAAAAAAGGCTCAACTACAACAGAGCTGACAGGCAAAGCCTTCTGACTCCATGGAAATCGAGGAGTACACCTGCACTCTCTGGTCTACTGCTTCCAAGAAATGCTGATTAACATTTCTCAGTAAAGCTCAGCTGCCACTTCCTTGGATTTGCCTGAATCTCCAGTAAACCCAAGTGTAACCACTCTCTAGCCTCCTGCAAAGTCCAGAACAACCCAAAGCCACAGGCTGGAGCCACCAGCTGCCTGCAGGCACCAAGCAGCAGCAGCTTTAGGGGATGGTTCATAGACTGGGGTGACTACCTCCACTCCTTTACCATGTTCTCCTGTGCACAGGGCCCCTCACTCACATGATTGACGATCAGCTTTGTGACCCTTGCCAGGTATTCACCTCACCCACATGCTGCAAACAATTCACAACTATTGTCTGCGTTGGCAGGTCAGTTACCAACTTTTTGATTTCTCAATATTTAAATGTTTGCGTTTTTTTTAACTCCCCTGCCCATCCCCATCATCCACTCCATGAGACTACCAGATCTCAGAGAAGTGAACACTGAAAAAAATTTAGGAGGAAGGCAAAATATGGATTTTGCACCTTGCACACAGTAACACTGACTTGAAAAAACATTGCCTTGTGCCAGGCTTGTCAGTTTATTCGGTGGCAAATACAGTCACCACAGGCATGCTAGAGAACATGCATTCCTTTTCAAAAGCATTTCCCAAGCTCATACCCAACCCAATTTAACCTCTCGCCTCATCCGCAATCCCCCCTCAGAGCCATGCTCTTCTGGGGAAGAGGTAGGAATTAAATTTCCTCATCTCATATTTCCTCCCCACCTTTTCCCAAGAGAAGTTATCCCTCAGTGTGCCAGGGCAGCTGCACATTCCAGAAACCCTGATGTTGTACACTGTTTTGGAATGGTGAAATTTTTTCCTGATGCACACTGACCTTAATTAGCCCCAAGGAGTGTAAGGCAAGAGTCACTGCTATGGTCCCACCAAATTACTGATTCTGTCACTTCTCTGAAGGGCTGGAGAACACTGGACATCTCCTTCAAGGTCACTTCCCTGCCCAACATGCTTGCACAAGACAAAACCAGCCAAGCTGTGTATTATGTAGGAGCAAAACTGACCTCACTTTTAGGACACAGGTAGCAATCAAAGCAGATTTGATGCTGTGTTCTTAACAGACAGAAGCACTTTGGTCAGATCACTTATGGTAAATCAGGGCACATATTTTGTAACAGTTCTCCCTCTCACTTTTGACTGTGCAATTTGCACAACCCCTGCCCTTTAACGTGTTCATTAATATGTGTAGCACAAGGGAGACCAAGTTCAACCAGAAGACCCTTAAAGCATGACTTCAATATCCAGAAATGCTGCAGCTCTGCACAGTTTTCATGGGTTTTCCTTTCTAACATGCAAACACAGAGGGATAAATTGCTCTTGAACAGCCTTGGATACAATTTAAAGAAAGGTCTGACATGCAACAGAGCATTATTGTCAGAGAAAGGACAGGAGGAACTCCATGGAAAAGAGAGCCAGCTACTCCACACTACTAGTTAAAGCCCTGCAGAAAGTGCCAGGCACATGGGAGAGGGACTACACTCATGACTTTTATCCTGGGCCAAACTTCTCTCCACATGCAGACAGCTGGAGCCCCGGTGATGGAAAGTGCTGTACTACGAGAACACTCTGCTAAGCCAGCTAGCCCTTCTCCAGACTGTATATATTATTATATGTTAAATCCATTTGTCTTCAGGATATTTATAGTCAACTGCAGGCAGCAGTGGAAAGAAGGCCTATCCACTGCTGCAAGTTGTTTATTTGGGAATCTCTTGTGTCTCTTCAGATAAATGCTGCCAGAAGGCATGTAATAACATAGTCAAAACCTACTCATTAGTATGCAATTTAATGAAGGACCATCTTAGAATCTTACTTACCACTCCACGCAAGGTTGGAGGTATCAGCCCACAGTAGACAGGGATAAAGGTGCTGCAGATACAGGCCTGAGGGAGAAAGAGATCCAGAATCTAAGAATCAGATCAAAGCCTACTGAAACTATTACTGTTCTCAGAACACCATGCTGGCATCTGCTGACAATTATACTCCAGTACTAAGGACATTTGGAGACCAAGGCAAAACAGAACTGCGTGCATTTCCTGCCCAGCCCTCTGCAGTAAGAGTCCATTCACCTGGATCAGTTCCTCCTTGGAATTGAAGTCTGACAGTATCACATTTTCTCCATCAGAGACCCGTGTCAGGGAAATACCCAAACGTCCTGCTGCAACCTCATGCCCATTCTCTGGCACCACCTTGGACAGGGACATCCGAATGGTTTTCACCAAGTTGAAAGAGGGGTGGAGGGGGCCCAAGAACCTCTTCCGGGCTTCTTTTGACACCCGAATAATGCTGGCACCGGCCTCACCTGCAACGAGACAAATGCACCATGAAATGCTACCAAAACCAGTCTTCTCCTTTACAAAACTAGGCACAGAAAAGCCTCAATCCCAGCTTTCCCCAGAGGTTTCTCCCCACTGGCTAATACACAGCTCAACCCAAGAGGTTATTTAGAGGGGATGTTATAGAAGTCATGGAAGTTTGCTGTCTTGGCCCTCACACACCCCCATCACAAAGAGCCACCCTCCCCTTACTTATGTTTTATGAAGTCAAGGAAGATCATGTGTATCTGATTAAGGCCTCACGCTGTTTTTTAGATCCTGTTGCACTAGCCAGTGCAGGGCTGGTGAAAACAGACTGAGAAAGAAAACAAGGCTGATACTTCAACAGTTTTGAGCTTATGGATAAATCCACTTCAAAATATATTCCACTAAAACTCTTCTAGTAAACATCTTTTTTTCTGACAGGAAAACAAATCGTCAGTCAGTAAGCAGAAGTGCCAGAACAGGAAAACTGGTGCTTTCCAGCTAAGTGATCCCAACGTTGCTGTGAATGTCAGCCACATCTCAAATGAGCAGGAGGGACTAATGCTCCATTAGAGAATCAGAGACTTAGTTCCTCTTGCAGAGCCTTTGGCATCCCATCCCTTCCATATCTAATTCCACAGCACTAAACCAGGCCTTGATGGCAAGCAGGATTTGTGGAGGAATGCTTGCTTTACCCTTTCCCACAGTGACCCAGCTGGGTTTGAGGAGACATCCCAGCTGCACAAAAGGGAAGGTATCTGCTAAGCCCATTATCTCAGTCACTAGGAGCTCCATCTGGCAAGCACATCAGAGCTCTCCAATAAGAAAAAAGGGATGGAAGGAAACAAAAATACAAAACTACAGCATCCAGCATGTTGCCCTTTGCACTGACTGACTGCTGCCTCCACAGCCATGTGGAGATAAAATAGTTCCTCTAAGTACTAGCTAATCACTGCATTCCAAAGAGTGTCCCAAACATACATGTGAGAAGAACGAGAGGGGGAGAATTAGAGAAACCAGGAGAAAAGAAACATGCTTTTGCAAATGAAGACTCCTCTTCAATCAAGCTGAAGGTCATTTCATGGAAAAGGACTAAAGACTACCAGTTCAAGCCAACTGGAAGTCCCCTCATTTCGCTCTTCCACTCAGTTTCTCAATTGCAAAAACAAGGCAGCAGAATGAAAGAACTCAAGTTAGACCCAGGTTAATAAATACAATGGAGGTAAGAGCAACAACCCTCAATGCTATGTTGACACATCCCAATCTTTTGCAATACACGTGTGCCAGCAACATGTTTTCCATCAATGCAGCCTGGAAACGTGATTCTGGGCTTAGGAAACCCACCAACACCAGTAGCTCAAGCACGCAGACAACTGGACCCTTGAACATGACCAGAGATTCTGAGGTCAGGATTTTAGGCACTGTGAGGTAGCAACTTAGTAGAAAAGCCAAAGTTCCCTCTCTGAAGCAATTTTTAGCCCTGTAATCCCAGTCTTCTGTCCTAGAGCAATGTTTAGCAGTCTAATTCTGATCTTACTTACTCAATTAGCAGTAAGCCATTGAGCCCAGCCTGTTTCAGATAGTAGCCACATGATTCAACATCCTTCCCAACATGGAAGAAGTCAGCCCCATAGAGATACACTTTATAATCACTGAGACATTAGCACTCTAAACATCCCCCAAAACACCTTCATGTCTGTCAAGGAGAGGAAAAACACTGAAAGAAACTGCAATCAAGCAAAATAAGGAATCACAGCCCAGTGCCTTAGTCACAGGACCCCATAAAGGAAAATCCTCTGCACTGAGTGCCTTGCAGGGAATTGTTGACTTGGTTGAAACCCCCATTGTGGGGGTGAGTATTGATCATGCAGCTGAGGGGAGACCCCTATGTACAAAAGCTGTGCTGGGGAGAGTGTGGATTATCCAGGAGATGGTGCTTGCTTAGGGAATGATGCTTTCAGGCTTGGCATGTTAGTGTGCAGAAAGATGTGACACCAATACTGAAAACAACTGCAACTAAATGGAGCTTATGACTGTTTGAACAAAAATGTGAGCTGGAAGGGGTTTGGGCTTTTTTTAAGAAAAACAGGAGAGCAAAGTCCTGACTATGCCAGAAAACAGCATTTGAGGGGAGTCCCGAGTTGCAGCTGCCTGTTCTACCAGTGTTTCATACCCAAGAGGGCCAAGTGAGATTACTGCTAATTAGCAAGTTCATTCTTTGAATACTTTGTTTGGGTTTTTTTGTTTGTTTTGGGCTCCTTTTATACACGTGTGCATATACACAGGAGCTTTGAGCACTTGTATTTAAAGATATCTGTGATTCTGTTGGACTCCCTGAATCACTTGCACCAAAGCTGGATGTGGAATTGCTCTGTAGGAAGGCATGGGCACAGGGTGATCTGCAGCTTTCCGGGAAATAAGGCCTGCTGAGGGGTCAGCCAAAGAAGCCACGTTTATGTAGCAAGATCCATGACAGATGACAAATCCTCTTGGAAATATATTTGGGAGGAGAGAAAAGAAGTGACAGTGTTTTAATCATGTTACTACCAGAAGTGCTACTCCAGGAAAACCGGCTCAAATTCTGTTTACAGTCCATGAGAGGGAGCAGCTAAATTAGAGGCAGTCAAGAGAGAGAACTCCTACACGGGTCAGCCAACAGCTCTTTATTATTTCTAGGACTAATCCAGTGCCAAATGCAGCCCTTAGGAAAGCTTCTCATTGTTTTTATGGCTCTAGTGATTCAGAACACAGAGTCATGTGAAGAAGCTGAATTAAATTTTTATTTCCTTATTGAGGTACATACCATGGGGCAGAGGCAATCCCTAATAGTTAGCAGTGTTTACTGTGAAAGCATTTCATTCTTACACTAAACAATTAATTCAACACCTTTCTCTATACAGATTTACTGAGCCAATATGCATCAAAAAAGTTGCATTAATATATGCAGAATATTTCATTTTCATTGGAAAACCAACATTCCCCTTTACCCCCACCCCTATCACTGCCCCACTGGGTGTTGTTATACATAAACCCAAGTACTGCAGGGCTATTGTCCTTATCTGAATTTCAGCTGTGATGACGCAAAGGAGCATCACACAGTTGTGTCCTGAAACACCCTAACATGTCTCTTGCCAGAAAAGAGAGGTCATCTGCTCCCCACTCTGCTGATTTGTCATCTGCAGTGGCTGCAAGGGGCAAGGTAGTGGCACTCATGGGAAAAGCCTGAAGGCAGCTGCTAGGAGACACTTCATTTTTAAGCTATATCAATCCAGCTTCACAGTAGATTATTAACATAGGGTTAGATTGTTCCCTTTAACAACTGACTTTCATCTCTATCAGTCATGCTCAACTCCAAAATAACCCAGTAACTAAGTCTGTACTGCCTGGCATCCCCTGAACTCTAACCTGAAAAGCATTCAAGCAGCACGTGCTATTTAGAACTGTAAAAAAACACCCCAGCAGAGCAGCTTGCTGTTACTCTGCCCTGGGACAGTAGAGCTGAAGATGGATCACCTAAAACTGTAAGCCAGGCAGCTGGGAAGACCCTTAACTGCTGCTAAGGGTTCTGGGGTGAAACAGAAAGGCTACTCCAAACCTGTGCAGTGCATGAGGACAAGGACCATCGCAAAGCTTAAACACTGCACGACAGGAGGGGTTGGTGACAAGTGGAGAAGAAGGGTCTCTTCAGACCCACATCTGCAGCAGCAGGGCTTTGGCACCAAGGGCGTCATGATGGTCTCCTGTTAGATCACATGTTAGACCATATCAGTATCTATTTGCCAGCCAGTAAAATCACAGGTGACCCATGAAGTATTTCAAATGGAAACAAGTGCCTAAGGCACAGACAAAAATAGGAGCAGAGCAAGCTAAATAGAGGAAAGGGCATTCTGAATAGTCAAGCCTGCAGCTCACCCATGACACTGCAGGTCTCTCTGGAACAGCTCTGTGTCAGCACAAAGATGACCTGTGCCAGGGACATTCCCACTCCCTGTCTACTGCAACAGTAAATAGGATACAAACTTAAAGGAAAAGTTCTCCAACAGGGATGGAGAGCAAAGGACAGCACAGAGAGCTGGTGGATGTAGGGGTAGCACTCTGTCCTGCCGGCAGGAAGCACAGAGAGGTCACACCCCACACTGCAGATGCCATAACTTGCCTGGACTAGTGGGGCAGACAGGAAACTGCAGATCCTCACTAAACCTGCTTCTCATTCAACTCCAACAAATGCACTCCTTCCTACACATCACCAACTCTCTTCCCTCCTCATTCCCATTACCCAGCTAAGGCTCCAACTGGCCTAACACACCAACAGCTTTGAAAGGAAGCCAACTAGCTGAAGGAAGCACAGGTACCTTTGCTATTCCCCCAGGCCCTGGACAGCCCTATGCCTTGTTAGTTTGGGATCACATGACCAAGCTATTTTGACTGCAAGATTTTCAAGACAGGAGTCCTGCCAGCCCTGTGTACTATAACCAGGGACCTCATTCCAGAACTCCTTCAGTTCTGCTCAGCTCTCTGTTCTCTGTTTGTGTGATACTCAGCATGCATGTCCCTAAAATCTTCACACTTTACTTTCAATGCAGCTGGTTGCTGAACGCTGTTGGAATTGTCATTATCCCACTGGTAGATTCCAGTCTGGAAGAAAATTTAGGAATAGGATGAGTCAGAAGGAATTTATTAGCATGATCTTCCCCAACATTAATTTCTCAGTTGCCTGTCTCTTGCTATTTCAGCTGTTCTGTGCCACATATGTGGAAAAGCTAAAAGTGGGTCTCTGACAATGAGCAGAGGTTTCAGGAGAGCTGTTCCATGTTCTTCCAGGGCACAAAACCTTAAGCTGCTCCAGCTCAGCATGCACAGCTCCTGCACTTGCTTCTTTTCTAAGTATTGAGAGTAAGCAATGCACATGCTTTCCTGCCTGGCCTCTGCCAGGAGATGATCTAATTACAACACATTCCTGTCACCAGCCCAAAAGAAACCCACAAAGCTATAAACAAGAGGC